TAAATAAATATTATATTTTATTTAAAGTGCTATAAATAATAAAAATAAGACATTAAATTTAATATATTTAATAATATTTTAATAAAGTTAAAAATAGTAATAATAAAGCTATATTTAGTATTAATATTAATAATAATAATAGTATTTTATTATTATTTTTTTTAGTTTAGCGGCGGGTCGCGGACAACCCTTTAATTAAAAAAAAATTATTAAGGCTAATATTTTTTTATTTAATATTATTAAAGCTAATTTATTATTAATTTAAAGTTAGCACCTAAGCTTTAGCCTTAGGCTACTAAGGCTTAATAAATTTTATTATTATATTAGGTTATATAACTTAACTAGGTTATTATTATTTAAGGTTTTAGCTACTAGTTAGGTAAGGCTAGAATAAACCTTAAGTATAAGTTAAAATAAAAACTTATATATAAAATATTTAAATTTATATTTATTTTTTAATTAAAAATAGCTTAAGCATAGCTTAAAGGTTTATAAAAATAGCCTTAAGGCCAGCCTTTTTTTAGATTTTTAAATAACTTTTTTAGTATTATTTAGTAAGGTTTAAAATACTTTATTTTTATTAGTTAAATTCCTTTGTTAATATTTTTATTATTAATAAAGATTTTCAAGACTTGTTAGTCTTATAGAGGCTAGAAATCTAAACCTTAGTATTAATCTTAATATTTTTATTTTTTTAAAATTTCTAGCTATAAACCTTTTTTTAAGTATATTACACCCTATTACACTATTTGCAAATCCCTAAGGTCAAGGACCTTATATAAAGGATATTTATAGCAAGTCTTTAAAGGTATAAATAAAAGGTTTTAAGTAACATGTATTTTTAGCTAGTAATTTTAGTTAAGTAATAGCTATTTTTAAATTATAATAATTTATATATAATAATAGCTAGTTATTCCAGTGCATAAATACTACCTTATAGCTATAATACAACTTAAAATATTTTTAAACCTTAAAATTTAAATACTAATAATTAAAATTAAAGTAAAACTAGATTACTTTTATAAAATTTAGTATATAATACAAGCAGCGGTAACCAGTAATTTAAATAAAAAAATATTACCTTATATTTTATTTAGGCAAGTTAAAGCAGGGCCTGGGCTAAGGGTACTATTATTATTAAGTATTTAATAATAGGTTAGTTATCTTTTTATTATAGTTATTAAACGTGCTTTTAGTTTATTAATTATATTAAAAAAATAAAGTTTATATTAGGTATATATATTCTAGTGCTAGATTATAATATCCCTGTTTATAATAAATATTACTACCTATTATAATAAAATACTATAAAATGGGCGTGGGCTTTTTGCTAATAATTGAATATTTAAAAAATTTAATTCATATATTAAACCTACTAAAAGCTCCCCTTATTAGTTTTTAGTTAATCCTAGTATACTACTAGCTTTTATTAAGTGCTTTTAGTCTTACTTATTTATTAATCTTATTTTATATAAAAGGCTAGACAAGGGCTTCTCTCCCGGGCTTTTTATTAATTTTAATATTACTATATTATTTATTAAACTGCAGGGGAACTTTAATACTCTTATAATATTTATTAACCCTAATACTTTTATACTATTTATTAAGCTAGGGAAAGATTCTAATATTTATATATTATTTTTTAAACTTAATATTCCCCTACCATTTATTAAGCTAAAAATAAATCTTAATATATTTATACTTTATACTTTAGGTGCGCGTGTGAAAAACCATAACTTTAAAATTTTAGTAGCATGGTGCCTTATAGTAGCTAGTGGCTTTACCACCCTATTTAAAGCTTTAATTATTATAAATTATGGTATTTTAGTTAGCTACTAATTTATAAATTTATTAGGCTTTAAAATGCGCCTGGTTTATATTTTAATTAAAAACTAGGAATGTAAAATTTAAAGGCATGGCAGGCTAGTTAAGATTGAATATAGTAACTTTAATTTAGTATTTTTTATAAGTTTACTAAAGAATATATATAATATATAAAATAAAAAGAAAATTACAACAAAAATTAAGTAACTAGTTGTAGCTTTTAGGCCCTATATATAAAAAATCCTACTTTAGTATTTTAGCTTTTTTTTATTTTAGTTTTGCCCTTTACTGCCAGGTCTTTCTTACTAATTTAAATTAATATTAAGAAATATATATTTTAAAACATGTGCTTTACACTTTTAAGGTAATAATAATAACCCTTATTAATTAAGGGTGCAAAAAGGACCAAAAGCTAGTGAAATTTGTAAATATAATAAAAACTTTTTTTATATTATATATATAAATACTAGAATAAATATTAGTACTATAAATTTTACTATATTTATAAATCTTATGGGTTAAAGTTTTTTATTAGTAGTTTTATTTTTAATATAAAAGTTATTTATATTTAAAATTTAAAGTAAAAAATGCATGTTGCGGTATTATGCTAATAAATTAAGTAAGATAATTCAAGAAATTAAAGTTATTAAGGGGTGGTTTATATATTTTTTTAGCTATATTTTAAAATTATAGCTAGCCGTAGGTATTTACGCTAAAGCCTGCATAGCCTAATAATTATATAGTATGCTAATACACCTGGGAGAAAGACTAGGTTATTTAAGTAAACCTTTTTTTTATACTAAAGTATTATAATTTTCTTATACTTTAATAACAGCGCTTTTTTTATTTAAAATTACCTTTATTATATGCTTGTTATACTTTCTTTTTTAAAAAAATTATTATTATAATTACTTGCCTTTATAAAATTAAAAATATTATTTCCTGGGCTTAGACCTTTAAAAAATTTTAATTTTAGTTTTAAATAAAGCTTATTATTTTAATATTTAGCATGGTAAAAGTTTAGCTTTATTTTAGGCTGCCTAGCAAAATAGGCCAACCCTTATAAAAAATATACTTTAATATATATTAAATATAAACATGGTTTATAGTAAATATATACTATTTATTAAATTTATAAAGTTTAGCTTTAAAAAAAATTTTAATTTAATTATAAAGTAACCTAAGCTTAATATTCATATTAAGCTTAGGGGTATTAATATACTTTAAATACCTAAATTAAAGGGTTATAAAAATATTATTTTAGGGCTACTATAATACCCCAGTGTTATAATTAATAATTTTAGTTAATTTAACCTTATATTATTTAGGGTATTGGTTTTTTATAGCAGCCTTAAAGTAACTAATACACTTTAGGTAATAAATTAGGTTAACTTAAATTATATAAATAAGGACAGAGAAATACCCCTTATTTTTACTTTATAATATTTAAATATTACCCTGGCTTATTTTCTTTTAAAAAAAGATAGTTTTTTTAACTATATAAATAATTATGGGTAGTTAGCCATGGTTAATACTATCCGCCATGGCTTACTATTAATTATAAACAAGCTACTAATATTAGCTTTATAATTAGCTAATAGCTTAAATAATTAGGGCAGGACTTTATTACTAATCACGGTTTAATATAATATATATAATATTATTTAATACCTTTTAAAAGCTTTTGTAAAAATAAATATTAGGAATAATTAAGGCTAAACATGCTTGCTGCTTGTATTACCACATGGTAAATTAATAGTAAAGCTTTTTCTTGGGTATAGAGCCAACATAAAAAAATAGATTTTTTAGGCTACTAGTTATTACACCAGGCTATTAAAAAATACTATATAAATATTATTTTAACACTATTAATATATAAGGCTAATATTAATACTAAAAATTTAAAGAACTATATAGTATTATATTTTATAATAAATAATAGTTATTATTTAGCTATTTACTACCTTTTTACTAATTAAAATATAAATATAAACATGCTATTAGCTAGGTACCCTTTTTTTACCTTTATTATTATAAATAGTTATATTTTAATAATATAATTACTATGTAAAATAAAAAAGCTAGATTTAAACTAGTTAAATTATAATTTATAAACACCTTTTAGTGCCGTAATAGTATTTTAAAATAGGGATATAATTAGTATTTTATTATAAAGGTAAAATATATAATTAAATAAACCCGGCCCTTATATTAACTTATTCTTATTTTTAGTAATTAATTCTAGGAATTATTACGCTATTTATTAACTAATTTAGTATAATAATATTAACCTTAATAATAGTTCCCTACTGCGGGCGGTTGCTAATAACATTATTAGTATTATATTTAACTTTTTAAGTACTAGATATGATATTAATTTTAAAGGTAATAGTGGCCTTTTTATATTAATAATTATAGCTATAAATAAAAACCTTTTAATTATGCGGTAACTATTTTAGCAAAGCAAACTTAATATTAATACTAAAAATAAAAAGGGGTAAATAGCTTTATTTTAGGTATTCAATAAAAAGTAACCGCAGGTATTTAAGTATTTACTTAAAAATATTAGAATCCCTAAGAATAGGGACTTTTATAGGACCAAATTTAATAAAAAGCTTTATTAAAGTAATAAGATAACCGCCCTGGCTCGCGGTACCAAGCTGCTTCGGCACCGGGAACCCCTTCGCGCTACCTAGGCGGGCCCGGTCACTACTGTGCAGGTATAGATCCCGCCATCGACTGACCAACTTGATTCAGCTTACTGGATTTTCTTTCTCTCCACTAGGTAGTGTTCTGTTTAAAATCAACAAATGAATCATTTTCTCAATGTTCTTTACCTAATCACTTTAAAGCTAAGGTCTTAGATCACCATGTCGCTGGAGCCCCCGATACCCATCGCGGAAAAGACTCAATGCCTCTATGAGGTCTGGAGGCACATATTCGACTAAATCAATAACGGCAAACAGGTAAGTACTCGTCTTGTTCTTTGATATATCCCTACATCTTACTAGTATTGGCGATCGTCTTGTGTAAGATAAAATTGGGACTTATTGTGGTGAAGTAAAGATGATACATTAGAAAGATCCGCCAACAAATCCACCATAACGCCATCAAAACTGCTTATCCTGGAAATAGAAATTGTCGTGAGTATAATTTCCGTGAGTATTTCATTAAGCCTACGCATACCGCCGACCACGACGGAGTCTCTGAGTTCCAGCTCCAGCTCCAGACCCTGTATCCCCTGCACCTCCAACAGCACCCGGACTAACGACCGCAAGATACCCAACATCCTTACTACACTCCACATCCGCAATCTGGATCTGTATATTTTGTAGTAGCCGCGCGCGTTCCAGACCAGAAAGCGCACTTCCCCCCTTTGGAAGCGGGACGTACGGATTTGTCCTTGTTAAGGATGAGACATAGCCAAGAATATCAGGCGCCCTGGTAGTAGAACGGAGGAATATGCCGGTCAATGCACAGAGTTGCAGGAGGGCTGTCGAGATTATAAAGACCGTTACCCAGGCTGTGTTGGTGCAATAGACTGTCACACCGTGAGAGGCAGTCCCGGAGGTAGCGTTGAAGTCTGGGATAAAATCCCCCGATCCGGCGGGGGTGAGGTTGACGGGGTTGGAGGGGACAGCGCTGGTAAATGTAAACGGGGCGATTGCGCTCTGCCAGCATGTATTGAACACGGTAGTTAATCTAGTTGAGAGGATCTGCGGATCCATCGTGCTCCAGTTACGTTCGTATTCGGTGTTTAAAAGCACGGTGTCCCCGTAGATGTAGCTGTCTGTTGGGGAGGATTGGTAGGTATTCACCTCGCTGGCTGCTTGAGGGAACTCGCCGATGAGGATTTCCAACGGGACAGGACCCAAATATCCCGGATACTCGGGGCTAGAGAATGGTGTCGAGCTGGCAGGTCGGGTGTCCTTGGTGGATTGGCGCATGCGTGAAACTGCACAGTCGGCACTCTGGCAGATCACCCAAGACTCGACGGGGACCGTCGAGATTGTGCAGTTGAACAGCCCTGCATAACCACCTGGAGGGTACTCTTGCGAGACGTAGAATAAGTTAATTTGCGACTGCGTGTTGGCTAGTGTTGTGAGATTGAAACTGGTATCGACGAAAAAGTTGCTGTAGTTTGTTCCATCACCAAAAAGCCTGGAAGCGTTATGGTAAAGGAGCAGTGGACTGCCCATCCTCTCTAACACCTCGGTCCACGTGAGGTTATTTGCGATGAAGTAGCAGTCGAGGTCAAAATATGAGGACTCGACCGGAAATTCCACGTTCCCGTGAGGTGGGACACCCTGTAATACAAGGCCAAGTAGAGAGGAATAGCTGGTCAAGGTACTGTCAGAGGGGACCGCTCTCCATGGGTTCGTGCCGCTTTCTAAGGCACCGTCAGAGGGCAGAAGGGTACGCAGCAGTGGAATCTTTGGCCAGCCCCATACGTCTCGACGAGATGCTTTGGCTTCTTTGGATGCAATAAGTGATGTCGTATAAATTGATCGCATGGGAGTCTTGATTGTGTAGAAGCCGCTCGCCCCTGATAGCCCTGGTGCTTTACTCATGTTCATAAAGGCAAGCGCGATATCAGATGACACGGACGATGGGGTTTCAGAGATCATTCTGAGGGCGCTTTGGCCACCCAGGGGCGACATTGTCCAGAGGAGGAGAATGCATAGAGTCAAGATGCTAGGTCGACGTAAGGCAAGCACCAACGAGAATGTTCCAGCAAAGCTAGTGCTTCCGTTCAGTTGCTCTAAAGTCTGGACGGCGAGCTGTTAGATCCACGAGCGTAATAGGTTGATGGTTAATGTGATGCACATACCCCAAGTGAGGCGCACCTTTCCGCCCGCCAGAGAGCAAGGCTGCGCATCATACTGCCAACAATGGCGGCAAATACAATAGGAAATATTGAGGGTGTGAGATTTATCGCTTGGATAACTTTCGCTCCATTATCGGAAATCTCATCACCGTCAAGACGGATGACAGTAATAGCAAGCGCTTAAATGTATAGTTAGCTGGCGTAGAGTTACTAGTGCGAAACGAGAGTAAGGATGGAGAACCACTTACCGAGGAAGACACCGGGAAGCAAAGCTAGAATAATTTCAAGGAATGTAGTGAAGGTGTCGGATTGGGCATTTCTTCTCAGCTTTTGAGGTTCAACCGGCCACCTGTCCACATACACCTGAGTGCTTGATGACGTAGAGATGCTCGTGCGGCCTGATATGATTTCTCTTTCCATGCCATCTTGTATTGATCTTTCATCCGCTTCAGATGGTACCATTTCAGCTTCGCTAAACACCGGTGGCAAGAGCTGAAGCTCACTTTCCTGCGCGCTAGGTTGAGCCATCATCAGAACACTTGCTGGGGTGGAATTGGTTTGTGAAAGACCAGGGAGCAGCACGAAGGTTATATCTTATAAGATAGCTGCTTATCTTATATAAGAATGCAAGGTTGTACAAAGCCAAAGGCTATATAGTCTTATCTACTGGCAAGGCTCCAGCATGCTAGCAGAGGCAATGTTAAGAATAAATCATGTTTACAAGGCTTAAACACGTTCCATACCATAAGATTAGATTTCGCCTCTTAGCTCAGAACGCTTACTGGGGTGGAATTAGTCTGTGAAAGACCAGGGGGCAGTATAAAGGTTATATCTTATAAGATAGCTGCTTACCTTATATAATAACGCGAGGTTGTACAAAGCCAAAAGCTATACAGTCTTATTTACTAGCAAGTACGGCATCCTGATCAAACATCCAGGCAAAAACATTTTTTTGGGTGTAAGCGCTAGTATTCTGCCCGCAGAAAGAAATTACACAGAAAAAAAAAGCTTGAGATGCCAATCTGGAGTGGTTGCTTACAAGGGAGCAATGCTGAATAAATATAGTACAATAACGTTCAGCGTGGGGTTATCAGCTTATTATGATGACTTTGGTGCGGCCCAGAGTATGGTGATTATTGGATCAATCGAACGCGGGGTCACGGACAAATTAGGCATCGCTGAGAAATTGCCCAGGTGAGATTTTAGCGCGGGGTAAGGAAATTGAAAATGCCCTGACCCACACCAGCACCAAGCCATTGCTGGAGCTGCTCTTCTCAGCCGATCGCCTGCATCAACAAGCGTGAGGTATTCTTGATTGGGAAACACCATACGCACTCTGGCTAGCTCTCGAATTTAGCTGCCTAGTAAGGCTCGGCGGTCAAATGATGCAGCTTTAAGCGGGAACCGTCTGGCAAGGAGGATCTGGAAGCCTTGAAATCACTAAAGAATGTCCATATTCAGATCTTTCCCTTCGTGGCTTCTGACTTGCCCATTATTATTCTTACACCCTCTGAATGAGGCAATTGCTTTCTTCTTGGACGTCAGGTGTTTGGGTCTTTCTATGACAGTCAGTCAGATGATACAAGGTAAGATGAGCCGTAACACTTGCAAAAGCAAATATCCTAGTTAGGAGGCGAACTTTGCCCTTGCTCCTCTTTCCTATTATCCAATAAGGTTCCATTGTCTACCACCATAGCCAGGGCCAAGTCAGTCGTTCTCCGAATCATTTTGTATCAGCGATATAGTCTGTGTGTGTGTGTATTCATACCCTAACCCCTTGCCTAAGTAATATATAGGATACTAATATTTAATATATATAAACTATTACTTTTAATAAATTTAAAATTTTATTATAATTTATAATAATTAATATTTAATATTTTATTTAATAGTTTTATAGTGCATGGTTATAAAACCTTTATATTATTTTTATAAGATTTAATATTATACTTGAAATACTATTATTTTATATATTATTTTACTTATTTTTTTTACTTGAAAATCCTTTTTTAATATACTTAAAATATTATCAAACATAGTCCCTATTTTTTATAGCTTTTATTATAAATTTTTTAATCTTAAGTAATTAATTAAAATATAAATAACTATTTTTATAGCTTTATATTTATACTTATTATTTTTCCAAACTTATATAATTTACCATGTATTACTAGCTAGGAATAACTAGTTTAAAATTAAGTAAGTAAACTTAATTTTAAAAAAAAGTTATATATTTTTTAGGTATAAATTAAAAATAGGTTTTTATTAATTTGATATAAATAACTACCTTTTTTAAATATTTTTTATTTTTATTTTTATTTTTTTTAAATTTTCTTATATATAAATCTATTTTTTTATAAAAAAAGGTATTTAAAAAGGTATATATTATTTAATTTTATTACTTTTTTAATTAATTTATTAATTATCTTATTCTTTAGGGTTTTATAATATCCCGGTACTTATTAAAAATAAAACAGGATTTTATATATTTTTGAATTACTTATTAATTAGTAAATAGCTTTAATAATTTCTTAATTTAATTCATTTTATATATTATTATTAAAAGATTTTATAAATTTTTATATAGTTCATAGGGTTATTAGGTTTATTATAATTATTTATAATATTAAGCTAATTATAAAATATATTACTATTAGCTTTGCTATATATATTAACTAATAATTTATTAAATTAATATAAAATTTTTAATAATAGGTAATATTATAATTTTAATTCAAGGCTATTTTTACTCTATTAAAATAGTTATATTAGCCTAATTTACTTAAAGAATTATATGTCACACCCACGAATGCCAAGCCCTGATAAGATAAGGGAGCTAATATAATAAGAGTTATGGTAATATTAACCCGCCATGTAGTAGTAATATTATTATTATTTTAATAATATATTTAAGGCTAATACCCTAGCAAAAAATAATTAGCTAAAAGTTAGTTTTTATATATTTTAGGCCTTAAAATTTAATATTAATCCCTTATTAAATAGCCTTTTTAATACTTTATTTTATACCTAGTTAGCTTACTTAAGGTTTTTATAGTTTTAACTTTTTTATTTATTAATTACTTATAAAACATGTACTATACTACTAGTATACTTATATCTTATTTTTAAATAAAATTATTTTAATAATTTTAAGAAAAAACCCTTTAATACTTAATAATTTTTTATTATTAAGATTATTAAAAGTATTATTATAAAAAACTATTAAAATGCTTGCAAAATGCTAGTAACCTAATAATTATAAAATATAAAAAAATATATTAAATATTTAAAAAACTAATTAGCTAAATATAATATACTTTTAAAATAATATTATTATTAAAATAATTTACTAAAAAATTATAGTAAAATTAAAAATAAAAATATACCTAAGTATAATTTTAATTTTAGCTTATAATAATATTTTAACTAGCTTGGCACTTTAAAATTAAACTTTAAAAAAGCACTTAAAAAATATAAATTAAATTAATAATAAATTTTAAAAGTTTTAATTATAATAAAATTAGTATATAAAAGTAACTAAATTTAACATGCTAATAAATTAAAGGGTATAAATAAAAAATATTAAGAATTTTTTTAGGAATACTTTAAAAAATAAATAGTTATAATTTTAAAAAGTTTAATAACTAGTTTACTAAATACTATAATTAAACTAAAGTTAGCTTATTTAAAAAAAAAACTAAAATCCTAAGGATTTTGCTAATTATTTAGCTATATTAAAATAGTATTTTTTAAAAAATAATAAAAAGATATAGATTTAATATTATTTTAGTAAGCTTTTACCTTTACTTTAAAATAAAATTTATAATCTTAATAATATAAAACTTTTAAATACTAAAAAATATTTAATTTAACTTATTTTATAATATTAATTTTATATATTATATTTATAACCCTGTATTACCTTATATTATAATAAATAATTAAAACTTACTAAATAAAAAGAAAACACCACTAATTTAAAAAAAATTAATATAAATTTACTTATAATAAAAAAATTTAAAAAAGAAATTATCTTGCAGGATAAACTTTTAAAAAAAGTTATAATAAAATATTTATAAGGCAAACTTTTAATATAATAGAACCCTTTTAAAGTTATACTAAAATAATACTAAATTAAGATTAGTTAAAATTAACTTTAATAACATGTTTTAAATATAGAAAACTTGGTTATATTATATTTAATTATATAAAATTATTATAAAACCCTAATTTTTAGCTAGTAAATTTTAATTAAATTATAAAAATTTATAAGGTAGTAGTTAAGGACCCTTAAAATAAAAAATATTATAAAAAAAATAAAATAATTAGCAAGAAGGTAAGATAATAAATTAAAATAAAAGTAAAATATATAAAAAAAAATAAAAAAAAAGTTAAAATAAAGTCTTATACCCTAGCTTAATATTTAAAAATAAAAATAAGTAAGTATTTTTAAATAAAAATAATAATAAAAGCTTTGTAAAATAAGATTAAGACTAAAGTAAACTTAAATATTAAAGTAAAGGTAAATATAATAAGTATAAACTTTATTAAGTATCCTTATTTAAATTAAGTAAAACTTTTTTATTTTATTTTAAAAAAATATAGCAGTTAGTAAGATAATTTAAAAAAAGTATAAAAAGTATTTATTAAAGTTATTAATTTTAAGGGTACCATAAAAATATTTAAATAGTTTTATATAAAAATAAAGTAAACTAAAGTTAAATACCTAATTATTTTTTTTATTATAATTATTTAAGCCATATATATTTATATAATAATAAATTAATAGTAATTTAGTAATAAAGTAATAAAATACTAAATTTTTAAATAATATAAGTTTATAAAGGCTTTTAAAAATTAAGCTTATATATTTATTATTATTTTTTTGCTTAAAAAAGTTTATAATAGCGGTAAGTTAAATTAAGTAAATAATTTATTAGCTAAACTTAATATATTTTAAAATATATTTTCCTTATATAATATAAAAATAATATTTTTAAAGTTAGTATTTATACATAGTATTATAATAATAAATAGCTAGTTACCTTTTTATAAATTAATTTAGCTTTTTTTTGCTAAATTAGCTATATTATACTAGTATATTAATAAAAATATTTAATATAGTTATATTAAACCTTTTAAAAGTCTTACTAAAGCACCTATCCTTTTTATACTTAAAAAAATAAAGGCTTATAATTATATATTAATTATTAAGGGTTAAATAAAATAATAATTAAAAATTAATCCCCTTTACCTTTTATTTTAAAAATTTTTAATTAAATCTCGGGAGAAAACTGCTATACTAAAATTAATTTAAAAAATACTTATTATTATATTTAGGTTTATAAAAAAAAACTACTAAAAAATAGCTTTTTAATATTATTATAATTATTATAAATATATTATTATACTTTTTAGTTTTACTAATACTCCTGCCACTTTTTAAAGTTATATTTATTTTATAATTTATAATATTTTAAATTAGATTTATGTTATTTATCTTAATAATATTTTATTTTTTTTATTAA